AGACAAAGAAAAAAAGAAAAAAAAAAAGGGAGAGAGAGAAGGAAAGAGAGAGGGAGAAGGCGAAGGGGTGTTTGTGTGGGGCAGGCACCGGCACGTGTGTGCCTCTATCCCTCCCTCTCGTTCTCTCTCTTTTGCTCCACTCCGACGCCCCCCAACAAGAAAAAGCAATGCGAAAAAGAAGTGTGCCTCACTCCTTGGCAGGCCCCGTAAAGGGGAGCAGCAGCAGCAGCGGCAGCAACGCCGCAGAAATACACCCAAATACACTAAGCAAGAAGCCCAAAAGGAAATGGGGCAGAGGACCAAAGAGTAAAACAGCAAAAACTTTGAGTAAAACCCCCCCAGGTTTTGCACGGCCCCCCAGCTGGCTCGACCTCGCCTTTGTCTCCGCCTACTTCAGTTGCTTGTGCCACCTCCGAATGCCACACACACACACGCATAATTACTTACATGGCTTCAGTATGTCTGTGTCACCTCCTTGATATCCATAGTGCGGGGGTGTTCTGTGCAACGTAACGGGACCCCGGCTTCTCCCGCGGTCGCTCGTGATTCAGCAGTAGCGTGGGAATGCGACCACTATTGTTACGCGTACAATGCCAGTACTGGAACAGTTTCAGCCCCCACTCCGGCAAGTAGAGAATTTCATCGGTGTACATCATCACACCTGTTTTCGACGACTCCACCTCACTTGGCGAAACCCCAGTGTACGCGAGCAGCACCTCCCGCGCCTCCGCGACGGTGATTTTGTCGCTGACGGTCACTACAAACGGCTGCCCGAAGGTGCAGAGCTGAGGCCTGTCCATGCCATGACGCCAGTCACCGTGACAGCACGCAAGGCGACATTGCTCCGCCAGCAACGGCTGCGCTGGCACAAGCGACAATGTCAAAGGCTTCCTCTCTGCCACGACCAACGTCTGACAGTTGCACCTGCCCTCTGGCGTCATTGGAGCCTCAATAATTTCCTTAATCGCACCGGCAGCCACGTCCAGCACCAGAATCAAATAGTGCGAACCAATCGTAAACGTGGCCGTCGCACCACCGCTGCTCTCGGTGGCGGCACCATTCGCACTCGATCTCGCGGTGTGATCATTCGCACGACTGCTGGCGGCAGCGGCAGCGTCAGCGTCAGCACCCCGCCGCCGTTGCAGCACCAGGGCGCATCGCTCCAGCATCCCCTGCACCAACGCCCCAAATGTCGTATTTTGCCGTAGCACCAACTTCTCGGTGTAAAGGGGCTCATTCTTTTCGGTGCGAACCGTCGCAATCACCCGCGGCATGGCCTCGACAAGACGCCGGGGTTCCGGCAGCACCTCAAAGTAGAAGACTGGGTTTCGTCCACCATTCACAAGGTCCGCAAACGTCACGGTGCCCAGTGAAGGATTCGCCTCGGGCGACAGCTGACCCGCCACACCGGTGTCGGCGCGGTACAGGCGGATGTAGTTGGGGTCGTAGCCGCTCACCCCACCAACCGCCTCACACACCTTTGCGTAGCTCCAACGAATGTCCATGGGGAGCGCGTACTCCCTGATGACCTCAAACCTCCGCGAGGTGTAGAAGGCGGTGTCAGCGCACTCCTTACCCTCGTTCGCGGTGGACAAGACAAGCTCCACCACGGGGCACTTTTCAGCCGCGCCTCCCCCCCCGCCCTCGTTGCCAGCAGTCAAGGCGTCACCACTACTCACACTCGCTCCACCTCTTCCAGTGGCATTTATGCCACTACTACCGCTGGAGCCAGCGCCACAAGCAGCAATACTACTACTACTACTATCACCATTGCTATCCAACATCAACGCGAATGGAGTGGGATTTTTGCCAAACTTAACGTGCACAATACGCACATGGATGGTATTCGAAAGCTCACTGAGGTAGTCTTCGACCCTTGTGTAGTGGCACACCAGTGGTGGCTCCTCCTGTTGCCCAACGAGCACCGCTCCAGATATAATGCGGCTAGAGCCAATCCTTGCATTGTTACTTAACAGATATACCTTTCCGTGCCTTTCCTCGAGCATTTGTATGGGTCTCGTGGCGGCATCACTGCCCGCATCCAACAACTGGCGTAGCACATTCCCGCAGGTCTTTATCGTGGCGGTTATCGGCACCATCGCCGATCCGGCGTACGTCAGACGACGCGTCACGTAATTGAAGTATTTAAAAAAGATCAATACATTGTCGTCTTTCAACTCCGGCAAGCGCGCCTCACCGGGACGGTATTTTGGCTGCAGACTCGGTATTGCCGTGGCAGGGGCACTCAAACGTACCTCACGCACCCGCACGTTTGTCGGTGCCTTTGACATCTCAATTCGATACCCCAGACTTCGTATGGGCCGCGCTGCTTGATTGACTTCGAAACGAAACTCCGTCTGCTTATTGGTGCAGTCACCCTTGTTGTATTCCTGCGAACTCCCGTCGAGCTCAAAGAGCTCCAGGTAGACGAATAACCGAGGATCGCGGGCGCTGCCGTACTCCAAGTAAAGCGTCACACCGTCAAGTTCGGTTGGGTGCCGCAGGCGCATGAAGCACTGGATCTCATTCAACCCCTCTTGCCTTTGCAACTCACAGATAAGCGGCGTCGCATCCGTCACAGGGAGCGGCGGCAACGTGGACGGCAGCTGCAGGTAGAGGGAGATCGACGTTGTGGAGCTCTTAAGTTCCTCGTTTTTGTCCAGGTAGGCCGTCATTAACGCGTCTTCATGGCGGGCAGACACTTTAATCGGTATGCTTGGGCGCAGCCATCGAGTTGCCGGGAAACGCCACAGTCGAAAGTCATTGGGGCCCAAGTGCAAGTCACGCAACTGTTTATGCTCGGCAACCCTATCGTACACGGAGCGCACGGTGTCTAGCTTCTGCGCCTCCAACAGAATCCCTGACGTTGAATCGGTTCGTACTTCCCTAGGGAAGGTTTCCCGCTGAAATTCTTCAACGTACTCGCGAATGTGGTTATCGGTGAAGATGAGAAGACTCACCTTGCGGCGCTGCTCATCCTCCACCTGCTGCTGGTGTTGCTCCTCCAGTAGTTCGCGCTTGAGTGCTTTCCACATAGACTGGGGAATACTATCCCGCGGTGGGGGGTCCAGCACCTTGGCGCAGTCGGCGCGCCGCACGTAGGAGAGGATGTACGCATTGTTCGTGGCCATGAAACTCGATGGACGGCCCTGCCGCGCCACACACCCGCCAAAGTTGTTACTAACAGCGAAATCCTCGGACACGACGGTGACTTTGTCGTCGTCGTATTCAATCCAACGCGCAAAGCGCTCATGGACAGGGTCCCATTCCCGAATGTAGCAGTAGTAGTGTCCGCTGCGCACCGAACCACGGTGCACAATAACACCCTGCAGGTCATAAATGGCTGGCGAATCTGTGCTGAACGGCCCCTGCTGATGTTGCTGCTGCTGCTGCTGCTCCGTAGACTGCTCGTTGCCTTTATTCCGCGACTCATCCTGCTTCGCCCCCGCCTCGCTGGCGTCCTCACCCTTCTCGAACTCCTGCAGGCACAACTCCAGGGGAAATTCGAGGCGACTGTTAACCTTCTTCATCTCGAGCGAGGGCGACATGAGGTTCATGTCAAACCGTTGCAGGTGAAACCAAATAACAGGTGGGAAACGGCGGAACTCGTAACTCTTTTCCGCATCCTTGTACTCCGGCTCCTTTCCAGGCTCCTCAACACGGTACTTGTTGTCCCCGACCAACTGCTCCTTGTCCGTCAGTGAGCGGAGGCTATCTATCAGTGTCACATACGGAGTCAGCGGCAGGTGAATGTCGTAGAAAGTGTCGCGGCTTCTGGACACGTACGCCTTATCGAGCGTCGTCACCACCTGCTCCCCGCGTCCCTCAAAGAGTTGATTGATGCTTCCCTCCGCCGCACTTCCCTTCATTCTATCCTCTAGGTTGTCGCGCAGCAAGGTCGCCATCTCCTGGATGTCGTGTTGGACGAACAGCTCCTTCTCTTCCCACCCAAACGCGGAGGTTAACTCTTTTGTGTGCCCCGGTGTCGCGCGCTCCTGCATATGAAAAAACAATTCCTTCAGTGCCTGAGGAATAGTCCGTCTACCCCCGTCATTATTCTCCGGCATGCGGTAGACGGCGTTGCGAAAGTAGCCAAGGTGAAAGAGTAGCTGCAGCAGGGAGTTCATGTAGCACGTACACCCCTCATTGATAAGACCTGAGGAGGGCAACGGGAGATCTTCCACCGCCTCCGCCGCCGCCGCCGCCGCGGTGTCACTCTCAACCTCAAACGGCAGGCAGCTGTTGTTTCTGCCCTGCGGTTCCTCCGACCACAACGCGTTGTCCGCGCCTTGGCCGGAGTCCATCGACGTCGAGGGCTGCATGGTGTCCGTGGAGGAAGCCTCCATCGAGGCCCCAGACCCGGCGACCCCGTCGTCGCTTCCAGAGACCGACGACAGGATATTTTCTTTGCGCTCATTCATCGCCCGTCACCGTGCCTCGGCTCGCTTCCGCCCTATCACTCACTCTCTCTCGCTGTGTGCGTGTGTGTGTGTGTGTGTGTGAAAGGGGATGAGTACAAAAGGGGGAAAAGCAACAACAACAACAAAAGGAGAATGCCTGGAGCAGAAGCAGCAAACACAGCCGTGCATGAGTGGAGGGAGACACACTGCGAGGCGCGAAGGAGCAGGGGGGCGATGAGGGCGCCGCACTTGTCAGCGCGCGTCAACTCTGCCGCACAATGAGACCCGCAGACGCAGACGCAGACGCAGACGCACACACACACACTTGTGGGCTTCCCTCATCCATCGTTTTTGATTCCAAGCTGTTCAGCATTACAAACACAAAGACAAGAGGGAAAAAAAGGGGGGGGGGGGAAGACAAGAACAACAACAACATGAACATCAAAGTCAAGAAAAGCTAATTCTTCGCCTTCCTTTGCTTTAAGTCCGGTTTTGTCTTCATTTTTGTTTAGTTTTTTTTCTTTCGTCCTGTTTTTGTTTTTGTTTTTTTCTTCGCTTTTCTTCCTCTTCCTTTTTTGCTGTCCCCTGTCGTCCGCACACATAACGCGCCGCTAATTCAGCAGCCCCCGCGTATCCAAGTACACATAAATGAGGAGGCAAATGCCCAGACACGCAACCCAGAAGTAGTAGTAGGCGTACTCCCACTTGAACTCGGGTATGTGCGGAAAGTTCATCCCGTACACGCCGGCAAGGAAAGTACACGGCGTAAAGAAGGCGGAAAATTTTGTTAGCACGGCCATCAGCTCGTTCGCCTGGAAGGACTGAAGCGAAATGTGCAGGTTCAGCAGCGTCTTGGCCTCGTCACGGACCTCCAGCGCCCGATCAATCAACTCAATACAGCTCACACACATCTGGTTGGCGTGTTCCTTGCTACACAGGCGCAGCTTCGTAAAGCTCTCCGCGAGTACCTCCTGCGTGATGCTGAGCATGCGGTACTGCACGTTCGTACGTCGGTGAAGGTGGTAGAGAAACATGTTCATCGCCCCCTTGTCCATGGGCCTTGTGCTCTTTTGGTTGAGTAGCTTCAGCAGGAACGGGGACTGGGAACTCTTCGAAAAGTGTGAAAGCACTTTTCCATCGGAAAACTGGTCCCGGCGACTCTCTTCGAAGAGGTGCTCCTTGCCCATGCTACAATCCCCAAAGAAGAAGAGCTTGGACTCGCACAGGTCCAGAAGATCTGCGTGGACTTCCAGCGAGCTCTCATACGTCTGTACCGCCTCATGAAGAAGCTTGAAGAGAAACTCCTGGAAGGAGATGTCGTTTCCCTTCATCAGGGAATTCCACTGGTGCCGCATGGCGGCGATGCAGTTACAGTCCAAGCCGTGGATGGTGATAACGAGCTTCTGGCTGAGATCCACGATGATGATCCAGCGGTTCGTGAGCTCCAGCACGCTGTCGGCGTCCAGGGCAATCTGTGGCGTGGCAACGCGCAGGCAAATAAGAAACTGCGTGGGCGCCTCAGGCGAAACGCAAATCTGCGGCAGCACGATGCTGTGGTCCCTGTCCGTCAAGAATGACTCACAGATGTTAAACCGTTTGGTTAGAAACCGTAGCGCGTTGTTGTACTTGCGCAGGGACGGGTCGCGCCCCACCATGTCGATCCAGTACCAGTTCAGACACATCTCAAGATTTGGATTCGTCGACGTGCTCGAGGCCGACGAGTCTTCCTTCTGCCTTCCACTCTTCTCCCACCCCAGTCGAAAAGTCCGGCTCGGACTGTGAGGTTCGCACACCCGGGGCACCGAGGGGGTGGGAGGTGCGCCTGCGCAAAAAGAACGGGGGCCGCATTTCTTCCTCACGTAGCTTGACGTCGCTGAACCGGTCACCACGGGCGCCCAGGCAATTAAAGTATTCCACGCGCACTTCGCAGGCCGGCCGCAGCGGCACACGCGACCGTTGCCGCTGCGGATGCTGCACTACCCACTGCGGCTGAAATGTGCCGTACCGCCGCTGCTGGGCCATCGATGGGGGCGACGACGGCAACGTTTCTCCCGCCGGAGCATGCACCACTACCGCAGGCAGCCGCTCCTTCTCCATCACGGGCAGTAGCAGGCCGCCGGGGATCTCTTTGCCGCCCGCACCACGCTCAGCACTGTTGGCGTTATCCGTGTCGCTCCCAGAGGCAAGCAAGTTCCAGACTTTGGCGCGTGGGGCAATCATGAAGCTACTCGACGCACTACTACTACTACTACTACTGCTACTGCGGCTACTGCGACTACTGCGGCTGCGGCTGCGGCTGCGGCTGCGGCTCTTGCCTCGTTCTTCACGGTACGTGGAACCCGTGCTGCCGCGCGAGTCGTTGCTTTCTCTGCTGCGCTTCCCGCGGCGCCTGTGCCTCCCCGAGCGGTGTGACTCCAGCGAGACTGACCCGCTAGAACGCCTGGCCTCCAAACAAAGGATACGGGCCTTCGCCGCACTGAACTCCTCCTCGGTGATTACACCGCTCTGGAACAATTCGTGAAACCGTTGGATGCTTTTCACCGCCCCTTGTGCGTGGTGGGACCCAAATAGCGGGGACTGCGCTTCGTCCCACGCGCCGCCGGACTCCAACGTCGGCGGCTCCTGCCCGGAGGCACTCCGTTCACTCATTACTCCGCAAAAAAAAAAAAAAACAAAGATGCTCGTGAACGCCACGACGCCCCCTACGCTCTCGCCCTGACCGGGTCCTCGCCCTCCGGCTTATGTGAATAGGTATATATATATATATAAATAAATGTATATATATACAAATATATACTCAGATAGATGGAGGTATATATATATATATACTCGTGTGTGCGTGTTGTGTGTGTGTGTGGGTTGTGTGTGTTGTGTGGGTTGTGTGGGTTGTGTGGGTTGTGTGGGTTGTGTGGATTGTGTGGATATATACGCAGACGTGCACTCGCCTTCGCTCCGCTTGCTGCCTTTGTGCGGCGTGCTGAGTGGCGGCCGCAGCAACGTGGGGGAAAAAAAAGAGAAAAAGACAAAGAAAAAGAAGCACACACATGCAACAACAAAAGCAGTAAATAAAATATATAAATAAATAAAACTCCAAAAAAAAAAATAACGGAGGGTTCCCGAGGCGCAGTGGAGGAAATGAGCCCGCAGAGAGTTGGCATACACATATCTCCACAAAGCTCCCCACTGTTGTCTACATTCGTTGCTTCTTTTCTTTTCGTTTTCTATGCATAAAAGTAAATCAATATATATATATATATGTAAATATATATTTTGCTTGTATATATATATATATAACCGTTTGCGCATCCGCGCTCTTAACACAAACGAACTGGGCGGGTGGGTAGGGAACGGGTGTGCAAAGAAGACCCAATCAACACAAGTGATAAGCAAGGAGAGAGAAGGAAAGAATGTAAAAGAAAGAAAAGAGAAGCTTCTCGCGCTG